TTGGCTGAAAAGAAAGAAAAGGAAAATAATAAATGTTAGAGGGGGTGTGGGAAAATTGGGACACTAATACACTGTTGGTAGAGTTGTGAACTTATCCAACCATACTGGAGAGCAATTTGAATCTATGCCAAAAGGGTAATGAAATTATGCATATCCTTTGATCCAGCGATACCACTAATAAGTCTGTATTCCAAAGAGATAAAAAATAGGGAAGGACCTATTTGTACAAAACATATTAATAGCAACTCTTTTTGTAGTAACAAAGAATTGGAAATTGAAAGGATGCCTATCAACTGGGGAATCACTGAACAAATTGTGGCATATGATGGTAATAGAATACTGCTGTACTTTAAGAAATAATGAGCAAGGTGACCAGAAAAGCCTGTAAAGACTTATATAAAATGATGCAAAGTGAAGTAAGTAGAACCAGAACATTGTACACAGTAATGATACTGTACGATGATCAACTATTGATGACAGCTATTTTCAGCAATGCAATGATCCAAGACAATTCCAAAGTACTCACGATGAAAAACACTCTGCACACCCAGAGAAAGAACTGGTGGAATCTGAACACAGATAAAAACATGCTATTTTTTATTTTCTGTTTTTTTTTCATGTTTCTTTTTCTTTCAGGGCTGTTTCTTCTTTCACAATATAACTAATATTGTAAAATATTTTGAATGATTGAGCATGTATCACCTGTATTAGATTGCTTACTCTTACAGGGAAGAGGAAGGTAAAGGAAGGAAAGAAAATTTAGATCTCAATTAAAAAAAATAATGTTAAAAATTGCCTTAACATGTAACTGGGGGAAAATAAAATATTATTTGAAATAAATCTTTATCTTAATTAATTTTATTTGGACAGCCAGATAAACAGAATAGAGCAAATCATTTATGAGCAAATTTCTCCACCCCCCCATACTGAATTTCTCTTGTGTTTGTACTATCCAAAATAGCTGAGACACATCTTCAGAAGTTGTACACTATGCAGCCTGTAGATTTTCTCATTTTCTTTTCTAGATAGATTTTTAGGTAGAAAATTCTGATTTTCTCAGTGTCTGATGTCCTCTGATTCCTCTCTGCTTCATGACCACAGGGTAGATAAATGACTTTAACCCATCTCCTTCAATGGGCATGTAAAGAAAAGTGTCAAAATCACCTCTTTTTTTTGTATTTCCCAGAAATAAAACTATCATAGAAATTGAGCAATATTAGCAATGGGGTCATGGGTGAAGTTAATACTAGGGAAGGGGTAAAAATAGTTTTTTAAATATGTTTTCTATATTTTTCATTCAGTATTTCCAAATTACATATAAAAATTTTAACATTCATTTTTTTTAATTTTATTTTTAATTTTTTCTTTAGGCAATTGGGGTTAAGTGACTTGCCCAGGGTCACACAGCTAGTAGGTGTCAAGTGCTTGGTCTGAGGCCGGATTTGAACTCAGGTCCTCCTGACTTCAGGGCTGGTGCTCTATCCACTGCACCACCTAGCTGCCCCAACATTCATTTTTTAACCATTTTGAATTCTAAATTCTCTTCCACCTTTCCACACTGTCCCCTCCTTGAGAAGGCAAGAAATTTGATGTCAATTATACATGTGAGATAATGCAAAACATATTTACATATTAGAAATGTTACAAATAAAACAGACAAAAAAGAAAAATAAAGTTTTAAAAAGTATACTTCAATAGGCATTCAGAGTTCAAAATATTTCTCTCTCTAGAGGTAGATTGCATTTTTCATCATGGGTCCTTTGGAAATCCCTTGGATCTTTGTCTTGATTAGAATACCAAAGTCTTTCACAATATTGTTGTTACTGTGTATGATGTTCTCCTGGTTCTGCTTACTTCCCTTTGCATGAATTCATATAAGTCTTTCAAGGCTTTTCTGAAACCATCCTGCTCATCATGTCTTATAGCACAATAGTATTACATCACAATCATACACAATTTGTTCAGTCATTCCCCAGTTGATGGGCATCCCCTCACTTTCCAATTCTTTGCACCACAAAAAAGAGTTGCTATAAGTATTTTTGTGCAAAAATGTCCTTTTCTCTTTTCTTTTATCTTTTTGGGGGATACAGACCCAATAGTGGTACTTCTGGGTCAAAGAGTATACCCAATTTTATAGCCCTTTGGGCATAGTTTCAGGGAAAAATAGTTTTGCCAGCCAAGGGTTATTCACCTCTATAGGCAACAGTTCTTATGACATATCCAGAGGCTACTGAGCTGAGGGATGAGCACCTATGTCTTGGTTGCCGTGCAGTGTGGATAGTAAACTGTCAGTGCTGTTAAGAATATAATTCCAAATTGGAGGATGGAAAGATTAAGATGAGAATTAATGGACAGAAAATTTTGAATTGTAAAAATACTAGTCATGGAATCTCAAGGTTGGGAGGCACCTTGGAGGCCATTTATTTTAATCTAGATGTGAATGAGAATCTCTTCTATAACATACTCAACACATCTTCATCTCACCTTTGTTTAAAGATCTCCAGTGAAGCCCAACCCATCAACCCCAGATCTAGTCCATATTTGTACATCTCTAATGATTAAGAAAGGGAAAGTGGCACAGTGGATAGAGGACAGGGCCTGGGGCTAGGAAAACCTGAGTTCAAATCTGACCTCAGATACTTACTATCTGTGTGACCTTGAGCAAATGGCTTTACCTTGTTTGCCTCAGTTCCTCATGTTGGAGAAGGAAATGGGAAATCCCCTCAATATCTTTGCCAAGAAAACCCCAAGTGGGATCACTAAGAGTCAAACACAACTGAAATGACTCAACAATAACAACAACGATTAAGATGATTTTCTTAAAATCGAGCATAAATTTACCTCTTTGCAACTTCATCCGTTACTCCTAGTTATTTCCTCTGGGGCTAAGGAGAACAACTCAAATCTTCCTTCTATATACAAATAAGTATGTTTAAGAAAGACATCGTGTTAGTTTCTGGATATAGAATGATAAGAACGTAACAGTACCTGGTGTCAAGGAACTTCTATTTTAATGGGGAACGTTATAGTAGAACAATAGATATAATACAAATACATGCAAAATAATGGCGTGATTTTAAGGATGACTAACAGATGGTGGGAAGAAGTCAGAAAAGACCTCATACCAGAGGTAACATTCAAATTGAACTTTGAATTAAGCAGGGATTCTGAGGCAAAGTTGAGAAGAGAATACATTCTAAGCATGGGGGATGGCCTGTGCAAAGGTGTGGAAATGGGGAATAGGATGTCATGTCAAGTTGTGAAGAACACCAAGTAAGTCAGTTTGTCTGGAACATAGGAATCAAGAAGGGGAGCGATACAATAATGTTGGAAAGGTAAACTGCCACCAGCTTGTGAAGGGTTTTTAATTCCAAATAGAGGATTTGGCATTTTATTCAAGAGTTAATAAGTAACTACTAGAAATTTTTGATCAAGGAGGTGACATTGTCAGACTTCTGATTTAATGACATCATTTAGCTGCCATTATGAATTGGAGAAGTGAGAAACCTGAGGCAAGGAGATGAGATGTAAGAGTTCTTCCACATGATAGCTCTTCAGATACTTGAAAACAGCTAAAACATCCCCCTTAAGTCTTCTTTTCTCCAGTTCCTTCAACTAGCTGTCAAATAGAATCAACTCCAGGCCCTGCACCATCCTGGCACACCTCTCTTAGCTATTTTCTAGTTTTTCAACGTCTTTTATCTATCTTAGCATAGACATGCTGCATTAGCCCCACCCCCAAAGAGCTCCCCTGCCTGTATGTCTCCTTACAATAACCAGTTCTGATACTGGCCTCTTACTCTTGTAACTATATTTAGATTACATTGCTCTTGTCTTCTTGTCCACTCTTGCTCCTGGTCAAACTAAGTATCTGTCCCTCTCTATAAAGAAATTGATCTGTCTTTTGTTTCTCCCACCACATCTCAATATCTTTCATTTTTCTTACTTTCTTTTCATCCTCACAATGGGCCACATTACCTTGGGTAATATAAACCCAATGGAATCTTGGGAGTGGTACTAATTTTAAATCTAATTCCATCCTCTTCATGTGAATGTGTGTGTGTGTGTGTGTGTGTGTGTGTGTGTGTGAGAGAGAGAGAGAGAGAGAGAGAGATTCAGACAGACAGACAGACAGAGAGGGAGAGAGTTGGAGATGGAGACAGAGACAGAGACAGAGACAGAGAATCTTTAGGGTTATTCTTTTTAAAATGATGTAATTTGTAGAAGTAATTATTGCTAGTTTCACATTTAAACTGAGCTGAAAATTTCTCATAAAACTTCTGGCAGTATTCATTCAATCCTGTTTCTTTTTCACTGTCTCTCTCTCTTTGTGTCTTCTCTCTCTACCTCCATTGTCCCTTTCTTTCTCCCTCTATCTCCTTCCCTCTCTCCCTTTTTCTTTCCCTTTCTCAAAGGTATACATGTTTATTAAATGAGATTTCCACAGTGTTCTTGTAGGATGGTGGTCATGTCTTGGGATTTGCTGTAAGGACAGAGAGTCAAGTGTAGTGCTGAATGATTTCTCACATCATTATTCAAAGTTTTATAACTTCATTGTTTAACATCCCAAAGCTCAAAATATTTTGCTTCCAGTAGGACACACTAGGATATTGATTACAAACATTTAAGTAGAAGTATTTCATCTTTCCTTTGGCACCTTGGTACCTCACAAATTTTGCACAAATTAGTCAAACATAAGCTATATATATATATATATAATATACATATAATATATATACATATATGTTTGCATGTGTGTGTGCGTGCATATGTGTGTGTATAAATAATTTCAAAAACTTATAGGCAAATTGATTTGGACCTGGAAGGAACCTCTGAAGCCATCTAGTCTACATTCATCATATTACAGAGAAGGAAATAGATGCTACTCTACTTTTTAATTAAGCAATATGAACTCAGATTTCGGATTACTGTTGCAACTATTATCAGCAAATAGTCACAATTACTGAATTCTACTACAAGCTTATAATCTGTTAAATCTTTTAGGATTGTCTATCTTTCCCTAGCACTCTCATCAAGGCACCCTTTACTTCATTGTTCCTCAGACTATAAATAAGGGGGTTCACCATGGGGTTAAATAGGCTATGGAACAGGAGGAAATATTTCTTCTGTACTTTAGGGTTCCCATGCTCAGGCCCAATGTACATAATGATGGCAGTGCCATAGAAAAGTCCTACTACACAGAGATGGGAGGAGCAGGTGGAAAAGGCTTTCTGTCTCCCCTCTCTTGACTGGATATGCAGGACTGCCCAGAGGATTCGCGTGTAGGAGATCACAATTGAAGAAAAGGGCCCCACCAACACAGAAGCAGCCCCAGCCAAGACCAAGATCTCATTGATATGGGTGTCAGCACAGGCAAGTTTGAGTATAGCTAAGATTTCACAAAAAACGTGGTTGATTTTCTGGGGACCACAGAAAGTCAATGGCAGTAATAAAATTAGATGGGCCAAGGTCAGAAGGAAGCCAGGGACCCAGGAAGCCAATGATAAAGTGATACACACCCACCAGCTCATGATGACAGGATATCTGAGGGGGTGACAGATTGCCACATAATGATCATAAGACATCACTTCCAAGAGAAGACATTCTGTGAGGGCAAAAGTCAAAAAGAGAAAAGTCTGAGTTATGCATCCTGCATATGAGATGGGCTTGACTGGGTCCAGTAGGTTTGCTAGCATTTGAGGCACAGTGTTACAGGCATAGGAAATGTCAACAAGGGCCAATTGTGAGAGGAAGAAGTACATGGGGGTGTGGAGTCGGGCCTCCAGAGAGATGAGTCCTAAGATTACTCCATTGCCCATTAGGGTGAAGGCATATAGCAGAGAGGAGAGCCCAAGGAGAAACATTCGCATATCAGGGCCAAGAGGAAATCCCATCAGAATGAATTCTTTAACCAATGTGTGATTGTTCATCATGGTTCTGTGACAGAGACAAAGAAATCATTTGGGCAAAAAGCTTCACCAAGAATTTTTATCGACTGATATGTGCATTAAAATAAATGCATAAATATGACACCCTTCCAATGCCCTTATATTGACTCTAATGTGATTTTACAGATCTTACTTTGATTAAAATAACACATTAGTATTCTCTTAGATACTTTTCATACAAATTTGGAATTCTCAGCAAGTAATTTACTCGATCATCTTCCTTTAATGAAGATTAATGCCTTCTTTGCAATTGATAGCTTTTGAGCATTGTAGTGGGAGGAGCATGGGGAGATTAAATGTCTTCCCTGTAGTCATGCTGTCATTATATGTCAGAGGCAGGACTTGAATCCAGATCCTCCTGACTCTGAGAATTCCTTCCTGTTCATTATATCATACTGTCTCTTGCCAAAGATAATATTTTAAAGACATACCTGGTCTCCATTCGTATGAATCCTCCTTCTTCCTAAGTATGTGACAACTCCTATGTGCTATATTTGGTAATCTTCATAATTTTCTGCATGTTAAAAAAATTTCCATCATGTTGTGACCAATTTTACATTTTAAACCTTTATTGTCTTGCTTTGCCTGATCTTTGGATAATAGACAAGATATACTATATAGTAAATATGTATATTTTCTTATTTTCCTCCAATTAAAAATAATTAGCAATAAGCTATTGATTACTTACTATATGTAGAAAATTATGTTAGGTACTGAAGATTTTTTTTGAAAAATTTATATACTCACACTTTAGTGGAGTGATATTACATCCACACAGATATACTCTCAAAAATAACTTTTGGTTTTTGGCAGTAACAGAGCACATAAGAAGTAAGGGAATGAGTGCTGGGGGACAATACCCAGAAGAATCCTTAACAGAGGAAGAAGAATGGGCTCTGTGGACAGTCAGCTCACAAGCAAATCATTTCTAGTTGATGTTTATATACCCAGGAAGTTTAAAAAAGAGTGAAAATTGAAAGACCAAAGACAGATCCTCTGAAGTGGTTCCTAGAGGGAGGACTGGCACTCAGGGAAGGTGAGAGTCAATGAACCTGAAACTCCCAGGATCCATTCTTTCATTTTTATATTACTTCCTTTTGAGGGACTAAATCTGTATTGTTAAAAATAGAACATTACCAAGGTAGCAATAACATAATGTAAACTGGGCTCTGTCATGTCTAGTTACCCAATCTATATAGCAGGAAGCATTTATTAAACCTCTTCTCTGTGCTGAGCATGATGGAGGAAGTTGTCTTGCTGTATGCATACATTTGAAGATCCTTTTCCACTTGCTACTTCAGTCCTCAATTTCCATAACCCCATTCTTTTCTTACCTTCCTGTGACACTGAATGCCACTTGATGGATTTAGGTTTCCTTATTCAATTCTGAGTAATTTTATTTACTGATCAGAACTTACCAATTTTGTTGTGACAATAGGAAAAGAATCATGAGAATCTTTACCCCCACAGTCTCCTGGCATTTTATTGTGTAGTTTGACCCAAATAGGTTGTTGTACCTCTCTTCTGAGTGTCTGTGGAAGGGAAACCAAGAATAGCTCACTAACTAGGCTGCTGAGTGAAGAAATTACCTCTAGAATATGCTGGATGTAGGCAATAATCACCATCTACAGCAGAAAGATCAGCCTGCCTACCTGAGCTGGCATCTGGATTGAGAGCAGCATAATCAAGCACCACTGGCAGTAACTTCCATAAGCCATTTTCTGGTCAGGTTAGTGACCCCTTTGTTCTCTTTGGCTCCTCACATATTTAATTGTGTCAAGTGTAACTCCTACCACTAACTATTCTCTGTGGTGATCACAGAAAGGGGACATTGAGAGGAAGCAGAGGACTCAAGGTTCATACAATGGCTGTCAATATTTTACTAGTAAAATAGTTAATGGACCCAATAATGCTGTCTTCATCCAGGGCTTGGCTTGGCCACTGGTGCCTTGAAATAAAGTGCTAAATTTAGAGTCAGAAGACATGATCATGAATTCCAGCTTTACTTACTGTACGTGTGACCTTGGTCAGTCAGTCATTTCTTAAGCACTTACTATGTGCCAGGCACGATGATTACTGCTAGAGACATAAGAACAGACAAAAGACAGAAAATCACATTGTAATGGGGGATACAACATACAAACAATTATGTAGAAACACAATATATACAAGATAAATTGGAGAGAACCAAGAGAAGGAAGGCATGAACATTAAGCAGGACCAGGAAGGGCTTCTTGTAGAAGGTGGGATTTTAGTTAAGACTTAAAAGAAACCAGGGAAACCCAGTGGTATGATGAGGAGAGAGCATTGCAAGTTTGGGGGACAGCCTGTGAAAATGCAGACAATAATGAGATGGAATTTTGTGTGTAAAGGAAGAGTAAGGAGGTTGAGTTAGTGAATCACAGATTCCATGGCAAGGAGTAAATAATATGATTGGAAAATCAAGAAGATACTTAACCTCCCTGAACCTCAGTTTCCTCAGCTATAGCATGAGAAGAGAATACTAAATGACTTCTAAGGTCTGTTCCAGCTCTAATCAGTGGTCCTATAATCCTATGACCTCTGAGTCCCTTTCATTTCTAAATCTATGATTTCAGTGCCTTATCTTATGATCCTAGTGCTGAAGCCCTGCTTTTTACATCATTGTTAGGCATGAACTGAAAGGAACGCTCACCGAAACAGAGAAATGGGACTCATCTGTGATTCTTTCTGGAAGCTCCCATTGTCTCCAGCAACTACTCTGGGAGATATCTTAGGTACTGAAATCTCACTATCCACCCTGGTTTTTAGCTGGCATATGATTTGAGGGAGTCATCACTATTACACCTAAAGGGGAATTTTTATTCCCTAACAGCTAAATATAATCTTAAATCTTGATAATCACAAAGTTCAGTGAAGGAAGAAAGTCCATGGGGCATCATACCCATACAGGGAAAAAAAGAGGCCAATCATCAACCACCATGCATTTACCCACCTACCTATTCCCTATAGAGGGATACAAGGGTCTTTTTGTCTTTCAGGGCCCCTGTGGAAGGGAGTTCAAAGGAATAGTCATGCATAGATAGTTTCAATACCCACAAGTATCCTTATGTAGGAAGTTTAAGACAGAGGTCATATTCCTAGGTATCCACTGCATATTGCTGCTGTTGTTCAGTCATTCAGTGTTGCCTGACTCTTTGTGACCCTTTCTGGAGTTTTCTTTGCAAAAATCCTGGAGTAGTTTGCCATTTCCTCCTCCAGTAGATTAAAGTAAACTTGCTTAAGTGACTTGTCAGAGAAACCTAGCTAGTGAGTCTCTGAGGATGAATCTGAACTCAGATCTTCTTCACTCTAAGCTCAATGTTCTATCCACTGAGCCACCTCTTAGGCAAATGAAGGTTAAGTGACTTGCCCAGGATCACACAGCTAGTGAGTGTCTGAGGCTAGATTTGAATTCACATCTTCCTGACTCCAGACCAAACAATCTATCCAATGAGCCATCCATTTGCCTCTACCCAATCAACTAATATGCATTAGATAGTACCTTCCTCTCAGTGCGTGATCTTGTTGCTTGTCCCTTCATATAAATTTCTTCCAGGTCTAGAACAACTTTATAAGATGAGGCTTAGATAGGAGGAAGCTGAAACTATTCTTGGGTGACAACGAATTGGCCCCTGGGTAATACTCCTATAGCTCATACTCTTTTATACTCCTTCTTTAATAGAGGCTATATTCCTTACTTTCTCATGATCCTCCTTCATCTTTTCTGCATAGCCCACATATATACACAACTTCACCAGAAGTGACAAGAGAATGAACTTCAATGTCCCAGTACATCATTCTATGTTACACAGATTGGAGGCAATAATTAAGTTTTGGATCTTGGGACACTGGATTAATTTGTGGGACTTATGGAGTCAAGAAAAGATGTGATTTATCCCAAGGGAATGTATGAGGGTCTAATTCTCACAGGATTTATTATTGGTACGAATCACTGAGAAAATTTTCTTTTGAAATCATCCTCAATTCTACTGACACTTTGTCCTTTTCCTCAGGGAAGTTGTGGAGTTCTCTAAATCCCAGACCTTCCTACATCAGTGATTATCTGTCCTCTTATCACTGGTATCCCAAAAGGTCAGAAATTCAAGTGATCTCTCCATAATAAACAGCTCAGAAAATCTCAGGGACATGGATAATTTCATAGTTTTTAGTCTGTTTGACTTTCTTTAAAAGAAAAAAAAAACAACTCTTTTTTTGTACTTGAAGCTGAGACAATGTATTATTTTATTCACCAATCACAAATCTAATTGATAAATCAATAAATTCTCAAGAATCTCTCACTTCCTTGTCCTATGTCCTTGGAATGAACCAGTAGATAATTAGGCATAGTAGCCTGGGCTTTTTGACATTGTAACTTTTGACAGCTGATAATTCAATCGACTGGTTCACAGTTCAATAAGAGAGTTCAGGAGCAATCCCCCATTACTAAACAAGAGCCTCACTCTACCACCACTCAATTTCTCTCTTTCTAGGTCCTTTCTTTGCTTCTACAAAGTACCATTTCTGGTGAATTTAGCCTTCCTATCTGCTGCACTAAAACTCTTCTCCGTGTTGAGTCTTCTTTCTCTCAACTTTCTCAGTAGAAGCTGCCAATATAGCTTTTTCTGCTTATCTCACACCTCAAGATCTCCTTCTGGCAGCAGCAATTAGCTCTTCACCCTTCTTTTATCTTGTCCCTTAAATCACATGAGACAATGGTCCTTGGCCACATCTTCTTTGCCTCCATCCTCCAAATGAATATAAATATGCACCTTATCTACCCTCCAATCAGGTATCTAAGGCATATCAATTTCTAAGTGTTTCTGCTGACATTGTACTCCAATGCAGTTGCACAAAAATGACTCCCTATGAAACATCTTCTAAATACATTTCCAATTATTGTCATCATTCTAATATAATATTTTCAAACTTTAGATTCACATGGAATACCATGACATTACCATTATCTTCTA